TGATGTGAGCCAACAGCGGGCTTCAGATGTCAGCTGAAACTGGGTCACAGGAGTGCAGAATGAACTGCACTCCGGTGGGCCACAGGAGAAGTACAGCCAAAACAGCTTTGGCTGTACTTCTTTAAAGAATGACTAAATAACACTTGCTGTTTCCAGCAGTAAAACTTTTCAGTGTAACCAAAAATGGCTCTCAAGTTATCCACACTATTAAGAAAGTGAAGGGGGAGGGGGTTTAGCCCTCTTTTGCCATATTTCTCAGCATATATATTTGACTAGTTTCTCCTTCTCTAAAAAAAACACTGATAGAAATTACACAGAAATTTCCGGAGCCTCTGATGGCCGCCATGGCTTATATTTCTTTCTTGGAAGTCTTCAGTTTTATTTTTCCTGTAAATCTGACCTTAAAAAGGGCTTAATTAAGTCATAAAACATTTATTGGTTTATTTTATTATAGCATTTTGAACAGTCACTGTTCAGCTACTGCAAAAAGTTTAGTGTATGAAAGACTTTTTATGTATCTCAGGTTATGACCGCATAAATGTGTTATTGTGTTTTATGGTCGGGGTTTTTCACTTGCTATTATCATGGAATACTTGGGGCCAACCCTACACTTTACTGAGGTCCAACTCCTGCTTTTCAGCAAGTGTGTGTTTTAAGGCCAAACAGTCTATTGTTTACTGTGTAAACAGCATTTATTCCCTGGAATTCACGAAGACTGATACAGACAGATTTTGTGAAAGTGTGTCGCATGCATTCTAAAAGTGGCGCAGCATGCCCCAAATTCATGTACCTGTCTGGAACTTGTACTCGAATTTGGCACATACTGTGCCACGTTTAGAAAGCATGTGAGACACTTTTGCAAAAGCTGTCTCTGCACATTAAAAGAAAGCTGGTTTTAAGCACCACTTTTGTAAGATAAAAACTGTCTATATTTTATTTTGAATTTAGCACTGGTGTTGCACCACATTGTAATAGTAGAGCAAATTAGAATTATCTGAATTTGGCGCAGGAGTTGCTGTCAAAACCAGAACTGTTGTAGATGTTTTTTTAAATTGGGCACAACACAATAACAAGAACAAGAAAAGTGGAGAATCGGCTTTATTGAATTCCCCCCATTGTGTTTTCCCTTATGCTTATTCAGGCTTTTGAAGTATCAGCTCCAACTTTGAAATGTTCACATTTGCAGGTAGTCATAGGGTGTAAGCACCTGAAATGCAAGTTGCCAACTGCTAGCAGACAAATGGAGATAATAAGAGATAGAGGAAACTGGCTACACATGGCAGCAAACAAAAAATTTCACTTAGAGCACAATAGATACCTAAAGCCCAAATTAATTTTAATTTAAAGCCACTAAACACATTTCAGGTGCATCAAATTGAAAGATGTTTAAAGTCTTAGGCTGGCCATACACTATACACTTTTCTTACAATTATCTGTCCAATTTCTGCCCAATTTCCTTTGAATTTACCTTCAACTATGTAGTGCAAGAGCCTGCCTAATTGGATACAATTGAAAGTGTTGTTTAGGTTTGACCTTATTTTATATAGTTTTTGGTAAATCTAAAGCAAAATTCTCAAGAAAATTGTATAATGTATGGCCAGCCTTACAGTTCATTTTCCTTACAAAGCAGCCACACCAGGAGTAGAAAAGCCTGTCCTCTGCCAGCATGCTGCAGCAGAAGACCCTGTATGTAAACAGCGGTTTCTCTGTAGAGGTCTGACACACACTGACTCAGATCTATAGCTCTGCAGCAGGAGTATCTCATGCCCCCTGTTGATTGGAGATCTCTACTTCTGACTCAACCAGAGGCATATCCCTTGTCAGGTTTTTGCTCTGTCTGTTTTCTATCATTCAGAAATTTCTCAAAATTGAGGGAATGCTTCTCTTTGAAATTTTTAACCACAACAAGTGTCCCCTATGGAATATTCCAACTCTATTCTGAGTTCATTTATTCTATGTTCCAGTGACAATGCAAAACTATGGATCAGCATTTACAAGAATACGGCTGTGTAAAGCCATTCACCTGTATGGCAGGCTGTACACAGCACGAGCAGATCCCCGGGCACAGGAAAGCATGGGGAAATGTATGGTAGGCGCATAAAACGCCTACTAGTATCTGGGCTGATGAACCCCAAGGGCCCATGTAAATGCATGCATGTGGGTAGAGGTGTGTTTTTTGTAGTGTTAGGTAGGTGTTTTCATTGCTTTTCCAATAGTTTTTAATTCTGTATTTTTGGAGCAGAATTTTTACCAGGGCTAATTATTACCTGTTACAATTGCAAAAACACATCAGATTGAATGGCACGTGCATTTTGACAGCTTAATGACTTCTGTGGATCTCTCAACACAAAACAAATGCACTGCACTGTAGCGTAGAGGTGGGAACAGACACTATTTTTATTATAGGAAAGTTGAATGCATGTACTTTAATGTATTGTAGCACAGTGGCTAAGTGGTTTGCACTTTTGCTGGCAGCACTAGGGTCGTTGGTTCAAATCCCAGCTACAGTGGGGATCGAAGGTTTGGGCACCCCAGCTAAAAATTTGTATTAATGTGCATAAAGAAGCCAAGGAAAGATGGAAAAATCTCCAAAAGGCATCAAATTACAGATTAGACATTCTTATAATATGTCAACAAAAGTTTGATTTTATTTCCAACATTTACACTTTCAAAATAACAGAAAACAAAAAAATGGCGTCTGCAAAAGTTTGGGCACCCTGCAGAGTTAATATCTTGTACCGCCCCCTTTGGCAAGTATCACAGCTTGTAAACGCTTTTTATAGCCAGCCAAGAGTCTTTCAATTCTTGTTTGAGGTATCTTTGCCCATTCTTCCTTACAAAAGTCTTCCAGTTCTTTGAGATTTCTGGGCTGTCTGTCACCCACTGCTCTTTTAAGGTCTATCCATAGATTTTCAATTATGTTGAGGTCAGGAGATTGTGAAGGCCATGGCAAAACCTTCAGTTTACGCCTCTTGATGTAATCCCCCGTGGATTTCGAGGTGTGTTTAGGATCATTATCCATTTGTAGAAGCCATCCTCTCTTTAACTTCAGCTTTTTCACAGATGGCATCAAGTTACCATCCAAAATTTGCTGAAATTTTATTGAATCCATTTTTCCTTCTACTCGTGAGATGTTCCCTGTGCCACTGGCTGCAACACAACCCCAAAGCATGATTAATCCAACCCCATGCTTAACAGTTGGACAGAGGTTCTTTTCATTAAATTCTGTGCCCCTTCTTCTCCAAATGTACCTTTGCTCATTCCGGCCAAAAAGTTCAATTTTAACCTCATTGGTCCACAGAACTTGTTTCCAAAATGCATCAGGCTTGTCTATATGTTCATTTGCAAAGTTCAAACAATGATTTTTTGTGGTGAGGACGTAGAAGAGATTTTCTTCTGATGACTCTTCCATGAAGACCATATTTGTACAAGTATCTCTTTATAGTGGAATAGTGTACCACAACTCCAGTGTCTGCCAGATCTTTCTGGAGGGATCGTGCAGTCAAACTTGGGTTTGAATTGTTTTTCTCACAATCCTGCGAGCTGTTCTGTCTGATATTTTTCTTGGTCTTCCAGATCTTGCTTTAACTTCCACTGATGACTGCCATTTCTTAATTACATTCCGAACAGAGGATATTGACATCTGAAAACGCTTTGCTATCTTCTTATAGCCTTCTCCAGCTTTGTGAGCATCAACTATTTTCAGTTTCAGTTTTCTAGACAACTGCTTAGAAGAATCCATGGTGCTGATTGTTGGGGCAAGGTCAGATGAGTCTGGGCATTTAAAACCTTTGAGATTGACATCACCTGGTCTTCCCAGACGATGATTGAGAACAATCCATGACACTGGCAGGTCTCAGCTTTGCAAAGGGGGCAGTGCATGCTATAAATTCTGCAGGGTGCCCAAACTTTTGCAGACGCCATTTTTTTTGTTTTCTGTTATTTTAAAAAGTGTAAATGATGGAAATAAAATCAAACTTTTGTTGACATATTATAAGAATGTCTAATCTGTAATTTGATGCCTTTTGGAGATTTTTCCATCTTTCCTTGGCTTCTTTATGCACATTAATACAAAATTTTAGCTGGGGTGCCCAACTTTCGATCCCCACTGTATGGCACTACCTGCCTGGAGTTTGCATGTTCTCCCTGTACCTGTGTGGATTTCTTCCCACACTCCAAAGACATGCTGGTAGGTTATTTGGCCCCTGTCTAAGTATGAATGTGAGTTAGGGACCTTAGATTGTACGCTCCTTGAGGGTTAGGGATAGATGTGAATGCACAATATATGTATGTAAAGCACTGTGTAAATTGACAGCACTATATAAGTACCTATGAAAATGATAAATGTCATGCCTTTATGAAATTGTGCACATCATGTTTGAAAGTCACTTAAAAATACTTTAATATAAATTTAAAGTGTTACTAAACCCAGGATGCAGCATTCACTATATTTGGTCTCCCACAGTACACACAACATGGAAATGCAATTATTTTAGTAAATATAAACTGCTAAATACCTTTTCTCATCAGCAGTTAGAGCAGTCTTGTGACTTCAGCAGAGCACTGGTTAAAGCTTGTAGGAGGAGTTTTCTTTCTGCTCTAGGAGGATGCAAAACCCCTGACCTCTGTATGGACAGTGCTGATTGGCCCTGTGCTGATCATATGCACCCTCCCAAGAAAAAAAAAAAACCTCTCTAGCAATACACACTGAGCATGAGCATGTGCAGAAGGGCTACGGGTTCAGTCTGTCTTATCAGCGTGGACATTTGAACAAGAGGAGGAGCAGAGAAGACAGGATCAAACAGCCTTTTTACACAATGCAGTGGATTAACCCCTTTGGTTCCACCATGAGTAAAACAAGCATGCTTTACTGCATATACAGACTGATTTTACTGTTGTGGGTTTAGTAACACTTTAATGCTAATAATAACAAATCACTTGTGTTCTTTGAAAATACTGTCTAATACAATCCAATAATTTGGTGTCTGTTTCTTCCATAGGCAGCTTCTAAAAACTGAACTGGGCTCTTTTTTCACTGAATACCTTCAGGTATGGGTATTAAACAGTATCCAGCATTTGTTTTCTTTTTAAAGAACAGTTTCAGGCAGCGAGTGAAATACATTACAACTGCTAAATTGAACCTATGCACACATTATGCGCATTAAGTATTTGTATATTTTGAACAAGCATAAAAAAGCAATTCACTGCAATTTCTCATCCACCTCTGTAACTTCAGGGTTCAAGGATATGGAACCTTTACAGGCAATTGAAAATGCGCATTGTACATTTCCAGGTGCTTTCCACCATTGAAGCCGTACGTGCCCTGTACAGCCTGCCTTACCAGTGAATGGCTGCATGCAGCCGTACTCTTGTTAACACCAATGCTTATTTGCATTAGCGTTTACTCGTGCATGCAAAACATATTTCCAAAGCATGTAAGTTTCCCATTCAGAGATTGTTGGATGCACATGCAAGGGTAAACAAGGATACAAAGTAGCATAGGTGTCTACAAGAGTTTAGCAAGATATAGCTATTCACTTCTATGGCAGGCTGTACATGACACAAGCAGCTCCCTGGGCACAGGAAACCATCAAGAATTATTCTGGGCATGTAAAATGTCTGTATAAGCACCGTGGGCACGTAAGGTGAACCAAATTTTCTCTCTCCTTATTTCCTTTGGCAGCAGGAACTTCGCAGTATGCCAGAACTCTAATATAAACAAACATCAGGCGCTGTTAGAAACTGTCTGAGACTCAATTTTGTGTCTCTTTCGTGATTTTGAGGATGAATTATGTCATGGTACATAGAGCTAGAGAGGTCAGTGAGGGCTTATTTAAAGCCCTTCTACTGCTTATTAAGAATATATAAAAACTGTAATGTCCATAGTCTGGACACCGGTTTACTTTAAATTGTTATTAAAGGCTCCAATTTTTGTAAAAATAACAAACATGTTATACTTACCTTGTTTTGATCGTACTCCTCTTCTCAGGTCCCCCCACCACTACTTTTGTCCCCCCCACTACTACGAAGGCATTATTGCGTGCTCGCTCCCAAGCCCAAGACACACAAAACAGGACTTGGCTCCTCCCACCAGTCCCTCCTCACTGGCTGTGATTGACAGCAGCGGTAGCCAATGGCTCCTACTGCTGTGCCTCAGCCAATGAGGAGGCAAAGAGCCAGGACAGCAGCAGCTCTTGAGCACAAAGCTTAATCAAGATCAGACTAAGGTAAGTATTTAAGGGGGCTGCAGGGGAAGCTGCACACTGAAGGTTTTTACCTTCATGCATAGAAATCTTCAGCCTTTACAGGGAAATATGTAGTTATACTATAATAAGAAATTCTACTAACCATACCTTATTTAGAGTTCTCTTTAGTACACCACTTAAAATTCAAGGGGATTCATGTGTATATGGGAACTATGCTTTTTTTAGGCTACATTCACATGGCTGTAACACGGCCATACAAATTTTACAGATCATTAGGCAAGGAACAAAAGTTCTTGCATAAATGATTAGCAATGAATCCATTTTTTAATACTTAAAAATTGGTGTGTTCTTTTTCTCACTAGTATATGTGTATTTGCAAGTCCAGTGTATGTGTACAAAACATTGAAAACAATACAATTGCATTCAGATCTATAAATAAAAAATGGTTGTAACTGTCTTTTTTATGGCTGTGTACATAAGGCCTACATCTGTGTTGTTTGGCTTCCTGTCTCCTGTATTTATCAGTTGCATCAGATTCAAGCTTCCAAGGCAAGTTGAGTCTGACTGGCAGCTGTGGGAATGCAAAATGCCTGCTTTGGGCATGTTTGTGAAAATTTCTCCTTTATTACAAACATGTTAGCAAAAGAGGTTCCGAGATCACAGAAAAAGGGAATGAGATGGATTGGTGCAGCAGAGCAGTGCTCAGATGCTGCTCAGAAATCCAACATAGGTGGTACTCTTTTTATCCATCTTCAGGCTTAATTTCCCATTTTGACTGCTTTTTTTTTTTTTTAAATAGATTTGTAAATGTGAACAACTTGTTATAAGTAACATTATAAAATTATGCTAATGTATAACCTTTCATTATATATAGTTTTTTAGTTACAACAATAAGGCTACATTCACACTATAGAAGTGCAACTCTATGTTATTATTATATATCATTATTATTTGCAAACTAAGAAATAGGTTTGCAATTCTGACAATATGTATCACTTTTCAGAACCAACTTCTCACCAAGGGAATGGTAATTCTTCGAGACAAGATTCGCTTTTATGAAGGTAACCAGGTCTAATCCTTCTCCACTGTAAACTAAAAAAAGTATATCCTTAGTTCTACTTATTTGTTTTAGTAGCCCCGATAGAATATTTAAGGCCCCATTCAAACTGGACGTTAGAAACACCACTTTTAAGAACATTTGACTTTTTTTGTTTCTAAATGCCCCTCCTTGTTAGCCGTTTAGAGCCAGAAAAAAAAAGAGCCAGTGTATTCAGCAGATGATTGTTTTGCTGCTAAAAAACGCCTGATGCACCTAAACACGTGGCGTTTTTGCATACACATTTAGGCTTTTCAAGCGCTTGAGCGTGCATTCATTTCAGTGGCCAGAGTAAATTAAAAAATGAATATCCAAGTAATTGATGTAAAGAAGCACATTTGCACAAACGCCAGGAGAAAGGCATTAAGAAGAGCTGGGCAAGCGCCCAGTGTGCATGGGGCCTTAAAGTCTAACTTTATGTATACACTGTATTGCTATCTGTGTTCCCATTGGGAAGATTTCTTCCCACTTGCTGTCCCAGAGCTACAACAGAAGGAAAGTGGACAGAAATTTCCCCAAAGTGAAAGATATCCTACATTTGCCAGTTGTCACCTGAAAAGTTGTCCTCATTAGAAGATTTGCCTTTTACTTATTGACAAATAAAATTTAGTTATCCAGCATTTTTGTACCAAAGATAACCAGGACAAACAACACACAATGAAAGAAATAAAAACTTAACAGAGGTTTTTAACTTTTCCCTATTTTATCCCAAACTGATATTTCATTTTGGTCGATGATGGAGAGTTAACCCATCTAATAATCTGGGGTGAGCGGGAATACAGAAAACAACAAGGCAGTCAAAAACAGGGCCAGGCACTGGGGTAGGCCCCAAGAGACATAAGAAGCCAATAGGAGACTCATTAAGATTAACGTGTAAATGAAACATCCCTTTGAGTGAACTGACCCTTAAAATAAACCATGTTGCTAGATATAAAAGGGTTGTCTAATCATCCATCCAACCATCCCTTGTTAGTCTTTGTAGCTCCTTTCACTTTCCTTGCAGCTTCTGAGAGTCCTCTCTTTGTGTGTTTCAGGTCAGAAACTTCTTGACTCCTTAGCTGAGACTTGGGATTTCTTCTTCAGTGATGTCCTGCCAATGCTCCAGGCCATTTTCTACCCAGTCCAGGTAAACAGTCTGCTACGCAGCCTTCCACTTTTCAGTGTTCGTCATAGATTATCCTTCATTTTTAGTAGAATAAAGTAGACATGCATTGTACAGCCCTACCCAATAGTTTTGAGAATGACATAAATATTTATTTACCTGCAAGGAAACGTGCAGTCATCATTGCTTTGTAAAAAAGTGGATTCACAGGCAAAGATATTGCACTTACTAAGATTGCACCTAAATCAACCATTTATCGGATCATCAAGAGCTTCAAGGAGAGAGGTTCAATTGTTGTGAAGAAGGCTTCAGGATCCTCAAGAAAGTCCAGCAAGTGCCAAGACCGTGTCCTAAAGTTGATTCAGCTGCAGGATGGAGCACCACTAGTGCAGAGCTTGCTCAGGAATGGCAGCAGGCAGGTGCGAGTGCATCTGCATTCACAGTGAGGCAAAGACTTTTGGAGGATGACCTGGAGCCATGAAGGGCAGCAAAAAAAAACACTTCTCTCCAGGAAAAACATCAGGGACAGACCGATATCCTGCAAAAGGTAAATGGACTGGACTGCTGAGGACTGGGGTAAAGTAATTTTCTCTGATGAATCCCCTTTCCGATTGTTTGGGGCACCCGGAAAAAACCTTGTCCTCAGAAGAAAAGGTGAGCTCTACCATCAGTCCTGTGTAATTTCAACAGTAAAGCATCCTGAGACCATTCATGTGTGGGGTTGCTTCTCAGCCAAGGGAGTGGGCTCATTCACAATTTTGCCTAAGAACACAGCCATGAATAAAGAATGGTACAAAAACATCCTCCAAGAGCAACTTCTCCCAACCATCTAAAAACAGTTTGGTGATGAACAATGCCTTTTCCAGCATGATGGAGCACCTTGCCATAAGGCAAAAGTGATAACTAAGGAGCTTGGGAAACGAAACATCAAAATTTTGGGTCCATGGCCAGGAAACTCCCCAGACCTTAATCCCACTGAGAACTTGCAGTCAATCCTCAAGATTGTTTCTTGCCATTCCCCCAAATCATACCTTCTCTCTTTTTTTCCTTGCTTTTTGCCTTCCCTTTCTTTGGTCTCTTTTTTTCTTCTGTTTATATTTGAACTATCCTTCCATTAGATCTCTGACTCTTGGCTGTGCATCCTAATTAAACCATACAGAAGTAAACTGAAACTTGAGAATGGCTTTTGTAGGTTTAAAAAAAAGCATCTTTGGATCAAAACTGAAGTAAGGATATACAGTGGGGCAAAAAAGTATTTAGTCAGCCACCAATTGTGCAAGTTCTCCCACTTAAAAAGATGAGAGAGTCCTGTAATTGGCATCATAGGTAGACCTCAACTATGAGAGACAAAATGAGAACAAAAATCCAGACAATCACATTGGCTGATTTGGAAAGAATTTATTTGCAAATTATGGTGGAAAATAAGTATTTGGTCAATATCAAAAGTTCATCTCAATACTTTGTTATATATCCTTTGTTGGCAATGACAGAGGTTAAACGTTTCCTGTAAGTCTTCACAAGGTTGGGACACACTGTTGCTGGTATGTTGGCCCATTCCTCCATGCAGATCTCCTCTAGAGCAGTGATGTTTTGGGGCTGTCGCTGGGCAACTCCCAACTCCCTCCAAAGGTTTTCTCTGGAGACTGGCTAGGCCACTCCAGGACCTTGAAATGCTTCTTACGAAGCCACTCCTTCATTGCCCGGGCGGTATGTTTAGGATCATTGTCATGTTGGAAGACCCAGCCACATTTCATCTTTAATGCCCTTGCTGATGGAAGGAGGTTTGCACTCAAAATCTCACGATACATGGCCCCATTCATTCTGTCCTGTACATGGATCAGTCGTCTTGGTCCCTTTGCAGAGAAACAGCACCAAAGCATGATGTTGCCACCCCTATGCTTCACAGTAGGTATGGTTTTCTTTGGATTCTCAGCATTCTCTCTCCTCCAAACACGACGAGTTGTGTTTCTACCAAACAGTTCTATTTTGGTTTCATCTGACCATATGACATTTTCCCAATCCTCTTCTGGATCATCCAAATGCTCTCTAGCAAACTTCAGACGGGCCCAGACATGTACTGGCTTAAGCAGGGGGACACGTCTGGCACTGCAGGATCTGAATCCCTGGCGGCGTAGTGTGTTACTGATGGTAGCCTTTGTTACGTTGGTCCCAGCTCTCTGCAGGTCATTCACTAGGTCCCCCTGTGTGGTCCTGGGATTTTTGCTCACCGTTCTTTTTGACCCCACGGGGTGAGATCTTGCGTGGAGCCCCAGATCGAGGGAGATTATCAGTGGTCTTGTATGTCTTCCATTTTCTAATTACTGCTCCCACAGTTGATTTGTTCACACCAAGCTGCTTGCCTATTGCAGATTCAGTCTTCCCAGCCTACAATTCTGTTTCTGGTGTCCTTCGACAGCTCTTTGGTCTTCACCATAGTGGAGTTTGGAGTGTGACTGTTTGAGGTTGTGGACAGGTGCCTTTTATACTGATAACAAGTTCAAACAGGTGCCATTGATACAGGTAATGAGTGCAGGACAGAGGAACCTCTTAAAGAAGAAGGTACAGGTCTGTGAGAGCCAGAAATGTTTGTAGGTGACCAAATACTTATTTTCCACCATAATTTGCAAATAAATTATTTCCAAAACAGCCAATGTGATTGTCTGGATTTTTTTTCTCATTTTGTCTCTCATAGTTGAGGTCTACCTATGATGACAATTACAGGCCTCTCTCATCTTTTTAAGTGGGAGAACTTGCACAATTGGTGGCTGACTAAATACTTTTTTGCCCTACTGTATGTACCATAGTTTAGCAAAAATTGCTGTGTTTGCTTAGAGGTCCATTTTTGATGTGATAACAACAATTACTGCAAAGAAGTACAAAGTAGAAGACCCAGGACACATGCTTTCAGTCCCAGGGTCTATCAGTGCCTCTGGCATCAGATCTGTTAACCAGAAGAAGCATGTACATGAGAAGTAACCTATTAAGATTCACTGATGAAACCCTTAGTAGCAAACCAGGCTGCCTTGATGGGTCATCTCTTAAGCCCACAGTAATGCACAGGATAGGATCAGTCATTCAAGCTACCTTAAGGAGCAAGCTTTTAAAAGCTATAGTCAATTACATAGTTTCCAACTTTTTGTAAAGGTTTTCCAAAACAAAGCTGAAAATAATACCTGCAATGCTTCTTCTAGTTGGGTGAGTCTTTTGTGGCACTGTTCAAGGATGGTTGGTGCTCAGATCTCACAAAGACAGCTGCATATCTACAGTATATCCAGCCTGGCAGTGGCCTTTTTATCACTTATCATATTCTTACATTTTTTGGAATTTAAACCAACCTACGGTGGAAATAGAAATTTTAGGTGTCCTAACTGCACATTTATGGGCAGGTGTAGGTCAGATTATGTGCTGTTTTGAAAAAATTTCTTCTTCTAATTCTAAAGATGTGTTTACAGAATTGGAAGAATTCAATATTGTGTTATGCTTCTTTCCAGGGGAAGGAACCCTCCATCCGACAGCTGGCTCTGCTACACTTTAGAAACATAATAACCCTTAATCTGAAATTGGATGATGCCTTATCCCGGCCACGAGCTCGTGTACCTCCTTCCATTATTCAGATGCTGCTAATACTTCAGGTATATCAAATAAAGGGACACAGACATAACAATTTTCTTTACCTAAAGTACAGATAAAGGCACGTGGGTGACAGTCTAAACAAGGGCAAATTCCACAAGCCTCATAAAAAATTTCCTTTAGATTCTCTGATTGATCCAAATCCTCCTTTATATGTCTCACACATTGGGAGGGTTTCAGCAACAGAGGCGTTGCTCCCAATCCAGAAAGCAGGGACTAGGTGTGTACATGTGCAGATTGACAGGCTACAAGATTGTGAATCAGAACTGACAATGCTCATAGCTAGCCCCCCCCCTGCAACTTCTCATCCTACTGTAGTGCAAGCAGGTACATCCTTTATGAGAATGGCACCTCTGCTCTGAATTCAGGAGCAGTGCAGCTTCATTGTCACACCATCACAGTAAGCTGTGATAATTATTTGTGTAGACTTTTTAGGGGACTAAGAGAAAACTGTAAATGCAGATGCATTTATAAAATTATATAATGCTCTCAATTACATAACATACTGTATATACGAGGGGCGTTCAAGACAAACCGGGACTTTTAACTTAGATATAAAAAGGGGTGCTGGCGTGGAGGTACACAAAGTAGTAAGTGGCAAGTGTGTCCTATTACTGATAGGTGGCTTACATGTCGCGGGCCAGTCCAGAGACCGTTAATCAAAATGGCAGATAGCAGTATTAGGGCATGCATGGAACAGTGTGAGGTGATGACGTTTCTTGTGAACGAAGGAGTAAAACCCACGGATATCTACAGAAGACTTCAAGCACAGTGTGGTGATGACACTCAACTGCAGTAAGATATTTGAATGGTGTAAACATTTCAAAGATGGCTGTATGTCCATCAGTGATAATCCCGGCTGTGGTGGTTCCCAGCCCACAGAAGTCATTCCTGTGAACATTCAGCGAGTGGAGGGCCTGATCCTGGATAATCTATGCATAACCTGTCATGAAATTGCACAAGAGACAAATCTTTCTGTGCGAATGGTGAACACAATGATGACGAAGTGAAGCCGGCTGTCCTAGGATGGTTCAGGTGTACTGACAAATCTTTCTATGCTGAAGCTTTCCAGGCATTAGTTAAATGCTGGGATAAGTGTATAAATGTAGCAGAGGAGTAGGTTGAAAAATAAATGCAATTTCCATTCCTTGAAATTTGTTCTGTTACTATAAAAAACGCAAAAGTCCCATTCTGACTTGAACGTCCCTCAGAAAAGTGCTGCATCACATATACTGTATAATTTTTAATGGGGTGGGGGGGCATAGTTCTACTTTAATGGTATTTACTGCAATTTGCATACTGTGTACAGTGTAAATTATTATTCGGTGCAGTTTATGAGCAAACCCAGGTAATGTGCCTCATCTCTTATTATCATACTACAGGTTTACTTATTGCCTTATGCCAGAAAAAAATATATATATTTAGTTACTGTTTGTGTGTGTGTGTGTGTATATATATATATGGTAGTTTTAGACAAAGGGGGGACAGGTTAGAACATAGTTTGGATATTTATTGCACTTTGTGTCCACATTCAGAAGATTTGCTTTTACATCCTGTCCTGGTGACAGGGTTTTGCAGGGACAGGATGTGCTGAGAAATCTCTTCAATGAGAACATAAACAGCAACAAAAAAAACATTATTTTATTGAATGGATAAGGGTTAGAATATCTTGCATGTTCTTATTGCCATCTATGCCTCCCTATTTTTCCCTGCTGGTGCTCTACTCTTATGTACAAGTGCAGATCTCGGTCCCTGTTTTGGCCTCATTTTAGCAGTACAGGGAATAACGTCAATGATGGCGCCTTGCACTTCATTTAAAGTGCTCACCATTTCATGTACCATTTAACCATTTTTTCTCTTCCACTCTCAAGTATTGGAAGAAGGGTCAGCCGCACTCTGGAGGATAGATGAATATAGTGTGTATTAATTGATCCATAGGACGCATAAAAACACCAGGACATGAATACAGGACCTGTTAACACGTTTCACACAATCTCGTGCTTAATCATAACCAGTCACAGTTATTCCTATACTTTTTTGTTCTGCTGTCACAGAGGGAAGAAAGAAAGACAAAAAAATCCCTGACAGCATTTTAAAATGTGCCCATTCTATCCACGAGGCTGCTATCCATCTATGTTATCCAGCATTTTTTAATTGCTCTGGGCAGGTGCATTATCATGCGTTAATGAGCGCTGCTGCCATTCCCATCAATAGGCCCTTTAATGTACGGCAAAGCATCCAAAAGTATCACAGTATCATACAACTTTTGCAACCAACACACTGCATAAATGTGAATTAGCACCATTAAAAACAATTTCAAACCTGTGTACATGCTCTATTGTGTACGCATGGATTAAAACACATAAGAGACCTATAAGAGAAAAAGATTTGATTGCAGCTGGGCTTTAAGCAGTGATCGGCAGTAAAAATTGCTTCAGAACAATATATTTTTAAAAACTGGACATTGCTGTGGCCTTCCACAGTTTTCCTTGTGTTGGCGTGTGTTGTACCAGTGAAAACCGTCCAAGTGTGAGGGAAACTGATAAAAAAATAGATATCGGAAACGCGCGTTAGTGAACTGCTGCAGGTTCATGCACTCTTTTCTTGGTGACATATTCTCTTTAATTAACTCATACTGTATACTGTATTGTAGGAAGAATATAATATTTTTTAACAGTCCCTTGGAAAGGCTTCTCATTATTATGATGGTAAAGAGACTAACTTAAATAAATACCTAAAAAATCACATATTTGAAATGCTTAATTTCATTGGTTTTGCGTCTCTTAAACATTTTTTATTGACTTCCAATGTGCCTTTGAACCAGAACGTGTTAATTCCCTAGCACAGCACTTCCCTCTTTGTACTTCATACCACTTGCCTACTCTGGGAGTGTCTGATTACTCTGTGTGCTGTCCCAGCTCCTCTGCCCATTCCCTCACCTGTCTACATCACCTTTTATGTAACTGTCAGTGGAGCATTGAAGGAGAATACCATATTTGAGTGAAAGCTCTGAGTCTGCAGGGGCACATATAATCTTATGGGAAGATTGTTGCTGAATTTAATGGTCTGGCAACAGGTTCTCTTTAAGATATCTTTGACTTCTCGTGGCTGATTGCCGTGATATTGGTATTTCTGGTTAAACACTTCAAGTACTGGCTAATTAAATTGATCAATGTTGATTCAAAGAGAATATGAGTCATTGAAATGTTACACTTGTTTTCTTTGCACTTACTGCATTTAGACAGCCGAGGGATGACAGACAGCAGACACCAAACTTTACACTTGGCACAATGTAGTCAGGCACGTACCATCCTCCTGGCAACCGCCAAACCCAGACACGTCCATCCCGCCAAACCCATCCATCGGTTTGCCAGACAGAGAAGCGTGATTCGTCACTCCAGAGAACACATCTCCACTGCTCTAGAGTCCAGTGGCGGAGTGCTTTACATCACTGCATCAGACAGTTTGCATTGCACTTGGTGATGTAAGGCTTGAATGCAGCTGTTCGGCCATGAAAACTCATTCTACAAAGCTCTGTATGAACTGTTGTTGTGCTAATCTGAAGGTCATGTGAAGTTTGGAGGTCTTTAGCTATTGACTTTGCAGACAGTTAGCGACTGCTGCGCACTGTGCGCTTCAGCATGTGCTGACCCCGCTCTGTCATTTTACGTGACCTACCACTTCATGGCTGAGTTGCTGTTGTTCCCAGTTGCTTCCACTTTGTTATAATACCACTAACAGTTGACTGTGGAATATTTAGTAGCAAGGAAATTTCACAGGTGAACTTATTTCACAGGTGGCAACCTATCCCGGTACCACACTTGAATTCACTGAGCTCCTGAGAGCGACCCATTCTTTCACAATTGGTTGTAGAAGCAGTCTGCATGCCTAGGTACTTGATTTTATACACCTGTGGCCATGGAGGTGAATGGAATACCTGAATCCAATGGGGGGGTGTCCCATTACTTTTGGCAATATAGTGTGTGTGTGTGTATGTGTGTGTATATATATATATATATATATATATATATATATATATATATACGTATGCTGAAAAATTCACCTTCTGGGATTTGTAGTGTGCATACATCAGTATATATGATGGTAACTAACGAGCACTACTTGTTCCAAACAAACAAGAGGGAGTGGGAAAGGAGGAGGTTTGGAAACTCGTGCAAGATGTTACAAAGAGGCAGAAAAACACAGTAAGAAACAATTTCATGAAAAATAGATTACAAGAACACTAAAGTAAATGTAAAGGCAAAACCTAACTAAATGTAAACTACTCTTGCCACATTCTAAGCCTAATCTACCTAGCCCTGTTCTGCAGCCGCTCTTGTCCGGTCCCCATGCTGAGCTGTCAGCGGCTGCTTCAGTGTGTAGGAGTGTGCAGCAGAGGCAGCCAACAATGGAAGCCCCATAGTAACTCTATGGGTGACATCAATTCCCAGGCATTTCCCAGCCATTGTCTGCTGTCTCCAGCATGCAGAGGGCGCCCCTGGAGATGGTAAGTGTAGAACAGGTAAGTATAGCATTTTTTTCTTTACAGGGCTAAATCTAATACACTTAGAATGTGGCTGAGAGTAAAATTAGAGTTGGTTAGGTTTTGCCTGTACTACCATTTTAAGTAGGAGATGTGTATGAATTATTTTTGGAGAGTAAGGATATTTTTTTATTATCACTTTAACCAGCTTTAATTGATCCATCCAATGACATGACAATCTGTACTCATACATTGTCAATAATCACCAATGTATTTGTGATAGAGAAAGCAAAATGATTCCTAGCAGTTCTTTGCTTCTTTTGTGAAGAAGCAGCAGATTTTTCACAGTACGTTTACTGTTCCCTTTGGCGAGTATAAATCATGAGCTCGCAGCAAGGCGTCTATACAGTGTTGTACAAAATCCCTGGTGTCACTCGTCATGTGATCATGGGTAATGAATTACATCTGTGAGAAGTGGTCAAGGGAAGTCGGGGGATTTTGTCAATATTTCTAGGAGAG